CACGAAACGCTTGGGTGCTGTCGGTGCTACTCGCCTTCTAGGATGGGGACCGCGTGATCCTCACTGTGGCTGGTTGGAGACACTACAAGATATGGTTGCCAACCGATGTCAGTGGATTTCTTGTTGTCAGTTTCTATCCAGATTGCCTGAGTGAATGTCTGGAGGTGTAGGCACCTCGGAATGATTGTGTTAAGCTAGCACTAAGTCCTTCCCCCATTCACCTTTACTCTTTTCTTTACAATAAGGCTTTCAAATAAGTCATGGTTGTACGGCAGTGAAGCATTGGTGTTGAACACTGATGTCATGCTGTCGATGATAATGATGATGATGATGAGTGAGTGGAGATATCGTCCTGGTCCTTTGGACAATCAATCCACTACATCAGTCTCTTGATTGGCATTTTTGGTTGAGGACTGTGAGAAGCAATCCAATTCGTATGCTAATTAGATTGTCTTGTATCAGATTGCCGAACTGCCCACTGTCAGCCAGTATGAAGTGGTATTCAGTGATTACCAAAATTTTGTGAAATTCCGAATGTGTACAAATTTGCGGCACCTCTCCGGGTCTACACAATCTGACCGTCAAAATGCAGAGCTGTTCGTAAATCTCACCTTGGAGGGGATGAGAGTCTAGGGTCTAGCTTAAAAGAACGTGTAGCTCTGACTCGAAATTTTTCACTGCCTTAAACTGGGAAAGAGAAACATATCAGGGCCCAAGCGACCGTCACGCAGAAAGCAATTCAACCGAACAGCCACTGCAGGAGTCCTCAGCATAAGTTTAGTCCCTACTAAATGAACTGTGAATGTTCACGCAAAACAGGGATTTCAGTTCTCAGCACCTTATCAAGCTCAGCCGTTTTCTCACTTCTCATACAATAAATTACGTAGCACACCATATGCCCAACACAGTCCAAGCCATGTCGGACTAATTCACAACACTCACCAATGATCAGATGTTCAGTTATTGGTGGTTATTGATTCATAAGTGTTCATTTGCCGGTGTCTGGTGGTGTGAGCGAATAACTACATCAAACCTGATAGTATATATTGTTGAGATATATGAATGACATGAGTCACTAGTGCATACATTCTTCTCTCCTGAAAAGTAAAACCTACATGCCATGGTATTTGCCGTTACAAGTGACTGCGCCTGTCATATCCGTGTCAACCATGTGCACAGAACGCATTTTGTAACGGGTCTATGTAACGAAACCATTTTATGTTGCTTGATGTAACTTGCGTTGAAATCAAGACCGTACTCCTTATTTATCTGTTTCCTAAATAGCCCCACGTAGCTATTCGCGAACGCATTCTACCGTAACAAAAGTCTATGCCTTTTATGCCTTCTGTATTACGTTTACTTTTTACAACAAATACACTGGCGTGTTCACGAAAATT